GCTCCGCTGCCGGCACGCATCGGCCTCGGGTTGGACAACACGGGGCCCAGGCTATGTGGTCCCTCGCCCTCCGCAGGGCGGCTCGCAGCTTAATGGGGAGATAGAGAGAGTGGAGGGGCGGGAGCATAGCCCAACCCATCCTCCATTCCCCATCACTGACCTTCCCAGGACCATACCCCCTGGCTCTCTACTCATCTCCGAGATGCTCAGAACTGATTTAGACTTTGGCAACCGAACCGGGTTGGTTCTAGGCGCTCCAGGCAGGCTCAGTGCCTGGCTCATTTGACAACAGTCTCTGGCACACACAGTGGGTATGTGTACATCTGTTATTTTTCATGTTTGAACCGTGTTTGCTCCAACACTTCCCCCAGTGGGTACCGTCAGCACTGTGCTGGGCAGGATGGAGGACAGCTGCGGAAGTGGAGGGAAATATGCGGCCCCGCAAGCAGTTCTGAGCTGGAAGTCCAGCGCCCTTTCCGGGCGCAACGTCTCGGAATTCCACGCAGAATGTCAAACCCCTGGGCCGCCAGCCCAGGGGACAGGAAAGTGGAAATGCCCGAGGGTAGAGCCCACAGGGAACAGTCCACACCCCACAGCTGGGTACAGGCCCGGCTCTACTGGTTGCCGGAGACATGGGATTGGGGAAGCTCGAGGCCCCAGGAGACCTGGACAGAAGGAGGCCGGCCAAAGGCGCCCCAAATCCTCCCGTGGGGACACCACGACACACACACCCGCGTTCGGAGGTGAGCGCCGCTGGGGATCTGCCCACACTTCCAGGTTCTGGGGGACAGGGGCGGCCTGCCTGCAGGGGGCGAAATGTTCCGTTGGTTCTGCTAGGCTGGGCTGACACCAGAGCCAAAAATAGAAGCTGAGATCAACTGAAAGGAACGAGACTGAGCAAACATTCGTGTATATATAATCCTGATGAGACACACAGTAAAGTAGTATCCCAAACATAGCAGTGGGGGAGGATTACTCAGTATAGCACACTCAGGTAAATGAAAGAAATTTTGGAGGATAAAAGTAAATTCTATAGTATACTTCAAAATAAATTCAAAGTGGATTAAAATACTAAATATTTTTTAAAACAGTCATAGAAACACTATATAAGTAGGATAAACAGTTTTATATTTATGGCTAAATGTCAGCTTTGAAACAACAGAAGAAACTGCAAAGGAAGACTAAAATTCAAAAAAATAAAAACTGGACAGGAGTTTTAAAAGGCAAAAAAGGTTTGAGAAAAATGTTTGCACTAAATACAAGCAGAAAGTACCTCAAATGCATAAGTTACAGCTGCTTGTTTAAATAGATCAAAACTTTATTAAACTTTTTGTTTAATAGAAGATTCTACTAATGACCCCAGTAGAATGCCATTGAATTTTTTAAAATTAGGCATGAAGTAATACTTTGAATATTTAACAATTTATTTACTTTATATACATAGGAAGACAATGATGAGTTTATTAAGCTAAAGTGATATAATCAAATATCTGCTATTTTTTCTTCACTAAACTAACAACTTTAGCCTCAATGGAAGGTGACATTGCAACAAGATTGCTTCACCCCATCCTCTTCTCAGAGCTGAAGTCAACCAGGCATGAAATGCTGCACTTCATTTTCAGCACACTCGGTCCTTTTCTTTTTAAATATGTTTTTATTGATTTCAGAGAGAGGAAGGGAGAGGGAGAGAGAGACAGAAACATCAATGATGAGAGAGAATCATCTATTGGCTGCCTCCTGCACGCCCCTACTGGGTATCCAGCCCACAACGTGGGTATGTGCCCTGACGGGGAATCAACCTGTGATCTCCTGGTTCATAGGTCAATGCTCAACCACTGAGCCACACCAACCAGGCACACTCGGTCCTTTTCTAAATGAAGGATCTAATGATATGAATTAAAGCACTGCTCCAATTCAGGAAAAGTGTCTTCAAAGTAAAAGCAAAAAGAAGCCTTGAGTGGGCTTATCCAGTTTTGTGGCTTTGAATATCATCACTATCCTAATGATTCTCAAACAGAACCTCTGCCCCGAACTCCAGACTCAAATATCAGTCTGTCTATTGACCTCTCAAAATGGATGTCATACTTTAATGTCCAATACTGCCCACCTGTCCTCTAGCCCTCCTCCCCCAAACACCCCCCCCACACACACACACACACAAAGTAGTTTCTCTAACAGACTTCATCTCAGTTCATAGCAAGTCTTTTGTTTGTTCAGCCCAAAAACTTGGAGTCATCCTTGACCCCTCTCTTTCCCTTAAAAGCTGTCAGGTCACGTACATTCTCTACTAAAGTCTTCTACCCTTGTCTCCCCATCCATTAGCTGTAAAAGCTCACCATGCCCTGAAGGCCCCATCACCTCTCTGACCTTTTCTCCTACTACTCTCCCCTTCCTTCATTCCTCTCTGTCGCCCTGGCCTCCTTGCTGCTCCTCAAACACGCCAGGCTCCTGCCCACAGGCCTGTGGACTTGTTTCCTCGGCCAGGAATGCTGCTCCCCTTATCCGTGTGGTCCATGCCTCACTTCCTTCAGGTCTTTACTCAAAAGCCAAAACAACTTTCTCAGAGTCAAAGACACAACAACTCCAAGCTTTGGATTTTCCACTTGACCTAAAGAGATATATGCATTTTACTTGTTTATTTTGTGTATTATCTGTATCTCCCCATTAGACTGTAAGTCTCTGAGGGCAGGGGTTGTGGTATGTTTTGTTCACTGATGTGCTCAGAACAGTGCCTACCACATGGTAAGTACTTGATAGTCACTGAATAAAAGACAGGAAGAGGGAACCATAAAAGACACACTCAGGGGGCAGACTCAGTGAGCACCAAAGCCCCATTGAAGCAAGTCTTGCCCCAGAGGGATGTCTCCAGCACAGAAGTTCTCCCACTGCAGACACAGCTGATTCTCACAGCCAATTGGCCTGGAGGTCAATTCCTCCCAGTGTTACCTACAACAATCAAGGCTTAACTACAACAAGACTGTGCACAAAGCCCACAAGGGGGTGCACCAAGAGTGTCTACCTCAGGTAATTGGGGAGACTGAGCCACTGGGCCCTATAGGACACTTAGCACAGAAAGCCACTCTAT